AGTCCTAATTGTTCTAGCAAGACAAGCTTGCTAACTATTACACCGCCTCGAGGTGCCCAAATGATTTTCTAAGCGTAGCTTAGGTGTGGCACAAGGCCAAAAGTGTGTAGCACCCAGTGAGAATCGAACTCACTATTCAGTCGTAATTGATCTAGCGAAGCAAGCTTGGTTACCATTACACCACATCGAAGTGCCCATAGTGATTTTTCAAGCGTAGCTTAGATGTGGCACGAGGCCGAAAGTATGGGGCACCCAGTGAGGATCGAACTCACTACTCAGTTGTAATTAGTTCTACCAAGACAAGCTTGATAACCGCTTCGAGGTGCCCAAAAGAGGACTAAGAGTAGTGATGGAGTAAACCTGAATCTATAATAAATATTCAAGATTTGAAATTATTAAATTCTAAATAATTCATATAGCACGGTGTATTTTTTTTATCACGGTTAGTTCATCGAATACAAGGCCCAAGGGTCAATCAATGTAGAGTGTTACTGTGCGAGATTGTTGTAAGAGAGAGGAAAGTAAGAAATCCATATTATGAGGACGTGTGGGATAGATACCAGTTGACCCTGAATTTAAAGAGCCCAAGATTGTAGCTGTCAAGGTAGTATCCTCTAGGGTGTCTGTTCGACAAAGTAACAGAAATTGTCCCAGGGTAACTTGCTTCTTATCAAGGGAACACGGCTGCACAGACGCCATACATAGCTCCATCATTCATACTTGCTGAAGAATGAAGATCAACTAATATATACAACAAGTGAAACACATTTTAAGGGAATGTACTCACTTAGTACCTGTAAGACTACAAGGAAAGCAACATAACTATTAGGTCATCCCATAAGTTCTGTCCGAATTTTGAATAAAGAAAACAAGTGACCAAATGTTACATTTAATTACAGATTCAATCAACAATGTATTTTCCCTGATTATCTATGACGTCCTTCCATCTATTAACATGCTTACTAATTCCATTACTGTAAAATTCTTTTGGCTTTGATTCGAAGAACTCACAAATGTCAGTTTTAACCTCTTCCTGTGTTACAAAAGCTGTTTCTTCCAAATGATTCTGTAAGCTACGAAACATGGTAGTCTGAAGAAGCAAGATCGGGAGAATAAGGTTGATGAATTTTCTCCCAACCAACTTCTTCGATCTTTTGTGACGTGATTCTTGCTGTGTCAGGTTGCGCATTGTCCTGATGAAACATCACCTTTTTTCGATTTACTAAAGCAGGTCTTTTTTTCCTCAAAGATTGGTTCAAACGCTCTAATTGCTGACGGTATATTTGAACATTAATTGTTGCATTAGGTGGTAAGAATTCAAAGTGGATTATTCCTTGGCGATCCCACCAGATTGAAAGAAGAACCTCTTGCCCATGAAATTCCCTTCTCGGCTGTGGCTGGGGTCCTTACCCTTTACCAAACCACTGTCAACGACGCTTAACATTTCGATAAAAGATCCATTTTTCGTCGCCAGTCACAAGTCTATCCAAAAAAAGTGAAACAAGTTGGCGAGAATGGAGAGAAGAGCAGATGTCTACTCGGGATTTGAGGTTGTTTTCAGACAATTCATGAGGCACCCATTTTCCAAGTTTAGGAACTTTTCCAAGTTGTTGAAGATGACGATGAACAGTTGTATGGTTTGAAATGAGAACCACTGTCAATTCCTCAACTGATAAAGCAGGGTTTTCTTCAAGGGCTGCTTCAAGAAGCTTTTCATCAAATTCAACTGGATGTCCGGTTCGATCTTCATCTTCAAGGGTGAAATCTCCACCTCTGAATTTTGCAAACCATCTTCTGCAAGTTCTTTCATTCACACATTCCTCTCCATAAACTGAGTGGATGTTTCTAGCCGCTTCGGCTGCTGAGTTTCCTTTCTTGAACTCATAAAGCATTATGTGCCTCAAATGATTCTTGGGTACTTCCATGTTAGCAGGGTTTTAATCAAACAAAATTTAATTTTATTGTTTTCTGAAATAAAATTTGATCAGTTTAAATGCATCTAAACATAAAAATAATGTTCAGCTCCATTAGACATTATAAAATACTCTTTAAATTTCGTTCATTTTAACAAAAAGTTAAAATTCGGACAGAACTTATGGGATGACCTGATATTTGAAAATGCTGAAATCGTCAATGTCCTAATAATGTCCCACCTTAAAAAATGGGTTTATAACAAAACATATAACACCTACAAGTGATCATCTACAAACTATATGTCTAAAAAACATACTTTTTAAAAAATCATTTTTTTTTACCCCAAGCAAGGCAATAGAGCCACTAAGACGCAAGGAGTTATTGAGTGTTATACTATTAAGACGAGAGAGTAGTAAAAGAATTAAGAAGACAGAAGATAATAATTGTCATTGCATTTAGATTTTTGAAGATCAAAGTTGACAAGGAAACAAGAAGCCGGAAGAGGGTTCCACAGGCGGGAAGTGTGATAGAATTAACTTTTAGCATAGAACTTACGATGACATCTAGTCATTTCAACGGTAAAATGATGAGACCTCATCGCCAATCTAGTACTGCACTTAAATTCATAAATTCTAGATTCCATAGAGGAAAGTTCATCAGAACAAATACCATGAAAATATTTATAGAAAAGGCACTGGAAAGCTACGTTACGGCGGTGGGAAAGGGACTGAAGCCGAGATGCTAGGTCAGGACCAATAACATTGCAGATTCGTCTTTGAATTTTATGAAAAATCTCTAAATATATAGCAGGAACACCAGACCAGATTCAAGGTAAGGACGAATGGTAGATTTAAAAATATGTAAGCTAGATTCTGGCTAGAAAAATTGTCTAGCTCGACGCAGTGAACCAATATTTTAACTTGAAAGTATAAAAATATGTACAGAATATCTGTAGTTGAAGCCATAAAATTGCGTACAAAATATTTAGATTTCAGCATTGAATAACCCATAGATGTGTTGATATGCCCTAGACAAAAATCAACCTTATCAACCAAAGTGACACGGACGGAATCGAGATGACTTGCTACCGTGAACATAGTATGGCGATCTGAAGGTCTTAATTGGTGGAACTGAAGAACATAACTCGTCCAAACATTTGCCATAGCAATAGCGGTAGAGTAGTGATAGTTTAGTAATATTTCGTCTGTGGGATTAATACACAATCACAAAGAGTTACATCAGATAACAAAAAACACTTCGTGTGAAGACTTCTAACATTAGCAACAACTAAAATTGTTAGCACACGCTGGCAGGATGTGATTTGAGGTCGGTTTAATGTGGCGGGGATCCGAGCACGTGCAACTGGGCCAGGTCCCAAAAGAGCCCAGCCTCAGCAAACTTATTACTACCGACCCCACGTCTTTTAGTGGAATGAGGGAAGTACTACCACGGGTAGCTGTTCCCCGTGACCGGGTACCTATCAATAATACCTCCAGTTGCACTCTCTTCGCAGACAGAGACACAACTGGGCTGCACTCTATCCGAAGAGAGATGATTGATGGATTTTCAACTCCCCCCAGAAGAAGCCAGGGTGTACATGTATCTAGAAGAGAATATAAAAATATCGGGAAGCTGTTAACTTTCAACACTACCAAAAACAAAAGGTCTGGAAGGAAACTCCCATCAAAATTAGAAAGAGCGATAACAGAAATAAAATATTTGATAAATTCCAACCGACATCAGTGCTAACTATTCGATCAATGGATGCCGAATGTTTCCTTATAAGGAAACGGCTATGACCATCACTCACCATGATCATTACTATCAGAACAGTAATGGTGAGTTGATAAAACTCTGTGTAATTGCGAGAGATCTAGAGCAGTCGTTAATAAATGAGCAAGACGACTCATCCCCGCCAACACAACGCCGCCGATTCAACACCGGCGACTCAACACCGGCCTATTCAACATCGGCCAACTCATCTTCAGGACAACTCACCACCAGCCAACACAGCGCGAAGGTAACGCAACGGCATGCAACCTATGAAATCTTTTCGACGACTTAAAAAAGAAACAAATAAAATAATTTATTAAGAATCATTTTTTAATGCTTTATTTTTAATTATTATTTTTATTTTTTTGAAAATTGTATGCAATTCCTCCTCAATTATTCAGTTGGAGATCTTTGTGAAAAGGAAGAAACAATCTGCCAAATTCTTTCATCTGCTTTTACAGACTTCTTCAATCTAGGGAGACGCGTGTGTCTTCCAATTAATTGCTCGAAAAATGCATCTCTGTTTCTTTGCACTTTTTGCAGCCCCGTCACGAATCTCCATATTGTGAGGTGCTCCATTCCCAGCTCTGTCCGAACATGAAAATTAAACAGCAGTCAGTCAAACAGGCCGTTGTAACTAATAAATCACTAAGACAAACAGGCATACTTTCAAAATCTCTACGACTCAAAGCCGACAGCCAACACCGTTCTGAAGTTATGAATTCGACGCTAGCGTTGAGTTGTCCTCGGGCTGAATAAGCTGGTGGTGAGTTGTCCTGGAGTTGTGTTGTCACGGAAATGAGTTGGCCGGTGTTGAGTCGGCGGTGATGAAACGTCCACTCCCGTATAGTAACGGATATCGGCGTGGAAAATGGAATCGACAAACCGAGTTCAAATAGCGGCCGTTTCTGTTTCGTTCAATCCACGCTAATGCCTTAAGAAAAGACATGAATCCAGCTATTTTTAACAGGAGTAGAGGTACATCTCTTGTTTCCCGATTACGATTGGGTATCTTGAGAGATTGATTCATTTTTCTACGGCTTATCAACCTTTTACAGATTTAAATAATCTTCAAACGGTTGATAAACCAGAAAATATTTTTAGATTGTCAGATTTCTTTTTGGATATATTAATGATTTAGTGACACAAGTCTTACTAATTAACCTATAGCTGGGGGATAAGAGGTGGATTCATACTTTCCCCCAAGGGTATTTGCGTGTAAGTGAATATAACGAACCCAACTGGAATTGGAACTTGGCTCTCTGATCAACAAGTCCAAGCTATTATCCATTGAAGCACTTACACATCCAAGCTTATAGCACCTGATATTTCCAAGCGGTCACTACTGACCAGGCTCGACGTTGCTTAACTTCCGAGATTGTACGAGAAACGGTGTTTCGACATGATATGGCCGTAAGGCTCCAATACTTTTTTTTCCAGAAATGGTTTCATTATGTTTAAGACTCCAGATGAGATTTCCAAAAATTCTTTACCTTCGTCTGCTGACACTACGTGTGCTATAACATTTGTGGATGGTATATTGATGGTCGAGACTATTTTAATTGGTAGCCTTAGATATTACCATAAGCTTTCCTCTGCATGGAGTCAAAAGCATTCCTAAAATCCACAAAGGTCACAGAGGAAGGCTTTTAGCTATGATGCCCTCGATTTGGCGCCGATTGGGCTACAGTGGATCGACCTTGCCTAAATTCGTTCTGCTTAATTTTCAATAATAGATCAAGACGTGGGTGAACATTATTTAGAAGCATCTTGTTACAAATCTTCTCTGCGTCAGCTTTTAATCTGATAGCACTATAGATTTTTTGTGAGGTTCAGATCTCCTTTCTTCCGAAGTGCTAGAATTACACATACATACACACAAACGCAAGCGCGCACACACAGAGTATTTACTTTGTCTCCCGCACCCACTAGGACGAGATGTGACACAAGGTCTATTTTTAGGTGGGGATCCCGAGCGCGTACGCCCGGGACAGGAACAAAAAATCCACTCTGCCTCCGCAACCGTCGGGTGTGTTGGCCTCGATGCGAGCAACGATCCCTCCCTCTGGTGCAATGGGAGGGCGCGGCCTCGGGCAGCTGCTGGGCACCTCTTCTGTATTACTTTCCTCTCTGTCCTCTGACAGAGAAACTCCTGAGCGCACTCTGTCCAAAGACAGAGACGCAACTGAGAGATGATAAGTAAACGTGAAATTTCCAAATAATAATAAATATGGTGACAAAGATGAGGACAATAGTCCGAATAATGTAAATAGTGTACATAGTACCTCATCTCAGAAACATAAAATCAGATACTGATATTTCCATTACTTCATTTTCTTTTTGTAAGCATTTTTATGTGCGGTGTATGGAATAACGATACGGAATGAGAATTCGGAGAGCCGAGTTCGAATTCCAGCCAGATTCGATACATTCACTTACGGGCAAATATCCTGGGAAATGGTATCGATCCATCACTTCTAAACTAAGGGTTGAATAACAGGACAGAGTGCGTCCTATAGCCTTGATTGGCAACTAGTCTACAGCAGAAAGAAATGGCAGCCTACTGATGGATAAACCTCTGCCTAGTCAGTTACAGAAAACATGATCGCCCGAACGTGTATCACGCGGTATTTACTCTGTCCACCCCCCCCACTAGGACGAGATGTGGCACAAGGTCTACTTTTAGGTGGAGACCCGAGCGAGTACGCCCGGGACAGGAACAAAAATTGTCCTCAGCCCCCGCAACTGTCGGTTGCATTGGCCTCGATGCGAGCACCGATCCCTCCCTCTTGTGCAATGGGAGGGCGCGGCCTCGGGCAGCTGTTCCCTAGGACTGGGTACCTCTTCAATATTATTATCCTCAGTTGCCCCTCTGTCTTTTGACAGAGAAGCCCCTGAGCGCACTCTGTCCAAGGACAGAGACGCAACTGAGAGATGATAAGTAGACGTGAAATTACTCAAAAATAGTAAGTTACACGCTGCAAACACACACACACACACACACATATATATGGTTATTTTCTAAACGTATCTCGGATGTGGCACATGGCGAAATGTGTGGGCAACCAGTGCGGATCGAACTGACTATTCAGTCGTAATTAGTCTAGCGAGACAATCTTGCTAACCATTACACCACGTCGATGTACCCAAAATGATTTTCTACGCGTAGCATAGATGTGGCACAAGGCCAAAAGTGTGTAGCACCCAGTTAGGATCGAACTCACTACTTAGTCGTAATTGGTCTAGCGAGACAAGCTTGCTAAGCATTACATCACGTCAAAGAATAAAGTTTGGAGAGGCGAAAAGTGCTCAATGGAAAACAGAAGAGTATTAATTTAGAGTTAAAGTGTAAGACATTTTAACTCGAAGGTTATATATATATATATATATATATATATATATATATATATATTACAATTGGAATTAAGATACCATTAGTTAATGACAATTTTTACCGACACACATGAGATTTGATTATAGTGGCGAAGGTTTTGTGCAGATCCATCCAACTCTTTTTGAATGGCCGAATAGATAGACCTGGTGCACTATGGGCCACAAGGTCCCCAAACGACCCTCCTCAGAGTTGTCCTTCTTCTAGACCAGTTGCCATCCAGGGCTATAGAACCCAGTCTGTCCTGATATTTATACATAGGTGGGGGGTATTAGCACGTAATTGAATGTAATGGATTCGACTGTAATTTGAAGTCGGCTCCCCGATTCTTCAATCCACGCCACTACCCATTATTACACCGTATCCCCCCCTCTCTCTCTCTCTCTTTATATATATATATATATATATATATATATATATATATAATCGTTACTGCATTTTTACAATTTACGAATCCTGAAGGTACTTTATACGTAATAGGGTTACACGCACCTACAACACACCGGAAAGAATTTATTAAATGTTTATACGCATTATTATTATTATTATTATTACCTTGTAAGCATATTAAAGCATTAAATATTTTATACATATTCTAAGCTGTCTTTACAACCAACATTAAATAAAATATCTTTTTTCCCTACAGGAGACGGCGTCTTGAAGTGTGTATAGAATATTTAATATTCAAATTCTTGTTACCTTAATGTACATAATATATATATATATATATATATATATTGAAGAAAATATAAATATATATACGAAAACGAAAAAAACGAAAATAGTAACGAAAATGAAAGAGAGAGAGAGAGAGAGAGAGGGAAAAAGAGCGTGTGAAGGAACCGGCAACCGGCAAAGTTATTTGTGACGAAGTATAGCTTTCAAGCGAAAACAGGAATAAAAGAAGGAAAAAAAAAAAAAAGAATTCGAGATCGAATTTCAATCGAAACTGCTGGAATCATCATCTTACGATTTCCCATCATTCCTCAGCGTCGGTGCACCGCCCACTGCACGTGGAAAGAATGTCACGTGGTCTCTGACTTTATTTTTTTTTCTCTCGATTCCCTGTATCTTGAATGACGTTTCTTCTGAGTGAATGGTATCCATGACAATTTTCCTCACCTGCATATTTGTCGCGGCATACTCTGCAGTGGTGACCTCCCACCGTAGACGGTCTGCAGTCAGGTAATAAGGCTTTAGACTCCGCCCACTTTAAAATGCCACATTCAAAAGCGGTTTCGTATCTTCATATCGTTCGTTAATTGTATTCTGTGTTACTACTATTAGGAACTGTACAGCCACAATAATACGAATCCACACGCGCACACACCTGTATACAAACACACACACACACACATATATATATATATATCGTGCGTATTTTGTAAATATATTGATATTTTATATATTGATTTTTCGGAAGAGATAAGTTAGATTCATGAATAATATATCTGTAGAAAAAAATATATGTGTAAACACTCATTGTAAACACACATATATATATATATATACAAACATATATACACACATATGTATATACATACACACAAAGCTATATACACACACGTACACACAGAGGAGACATGTGTGTGTGTGTGTGTGTGTGTGTGTGTGTGTGTGTGTGTAATATATATATAGATATACAAAATGGGGCATTGAGGTCAACATCTAGGGGCGAAACATACTGTGTTACATATATGGGAGTTTGAGCACACGCACACACACACACATATATATATAGAGAGAAAGATAGAGAAAAAGATATAGAGATAGATATAGGCATATATTGTATATACAGACATATATGCATATATACACGCAGACATATTAAAACAAACCCATTGATTTCTACGGTTTATCAACGCTTTAAAAGTTATTTAAAGCCAGAAAATATTTTTAAATTTTTAGAAAAAATATTATGCTTTATTTTCCATAATATATATATATATATATATATATAAACAAACGCACAAATGTACACATATATACGTATCACACGTATATCACGATAGATACGATTATATGGATATTTGTATAAGTAATTCAAACAGGGTATGACATGATGTTATATATAAAATTTTGTGACTTCCGGTAGTCTGTCCGTCTGTCCGTCACACCCTCTAAAATAGACATACATTGAACGATCGAAACCAAATTTTGGGGAGAAGCGCAAACAGGTAAGGGGAGGGGTACAAAGTACAGGTGGTTTTTATTTCAGTACGTAACAACCGCGAAGTACAGACTTTGTCAAGGTATTTTTGCACCAAATCAGCTTATTCAAATTTCATCGATTGGCTTGCGAAATTGAATGAAACGTATAGTTTGTAAATCTCTACAAAAAATGCTTGCGATCAATTCAACAATACTAAATACTGTGAGAATTTCAACACGCGTCATCTTGTTGCAAAATAAAATTCCAGTAACGGGAAATGTGACACCGGAATCCGAATGAGTATTGGAATAGAGAAAGATGCCTTCCAAAAGCTAAGCAAAGTATTAAAGAAATAGGAAAACCTCGTTAGAAACAAAGAAAAGTGCTGAACTGTTCTGCAATAACAATCCTCTTATACGGCAAGGAATGTTGAATATTTTCGTCACAACGACGATATCGTTTTATCGAAGAATGCGGAGAATACCATGGAGGGTGCATGTGAACGATGAGGAAGTCCGAAAGAAAATGTAAACAAAAGTGAAAATTATACTTAGAATCAGAGGGAGACAGCTGAAATGATTGTCACACATAATTTTGAAAGAAGGCTTAGAGAATTTGGCACTCACAAGACATTGAGGCACAGAGAGAAACAGTGAGTAACACACCTTACCAGCTTATTTAAGTAAATGTCCGATAGAGGAGTGAGAAGGATAGTAAAAATAGTAAGAGATGCAAAATACAGGAAGTTTTGGAAGGCCATGATTACCCACGTCCTGAAAGAACACGACACATAAAAGAAGATTCATTCATAAGTGATGACCTCATCTTTTACGGTTAAAATAGCTTACTCGTATTCTCAAAATATTTGATTAATTTTGCTGCAAGAAAACAGGAAATATGGAAACCAACAGGAGAAAAATATGGTCGTCACCAAGAGAAAAAGCCCAAGATGCGAGCAATAAACAAGAGATATAAACATCAAGCAGGTTCAGAATTTCAAATATCTGAGAAAGCATTTAAACAGAGGATGTGACACCGAAATCCGAAGTACGCATTGGACTAGCGAAAGAGGCATTCCAAAAGCTAAGCAAGGTGCTGAGAAACGAGAAAGTTTCGTTAGAAACAAAGAAAAAGGTGCTGGATTGCTATGTGGAATCCATTCTCTTATATGGCAGTGGATGTTGAATATTCTCCGCGCGGATGAGGAGAGAACTGGCGGCAGCAGAATTATGATTCTACAGAAGGATACTGAGAATTCTATGGATGGAAAGAATAAGCATCAGAAAGAACACTTATTTTAAGAATCGGGAAAAGATAGCTGAAAATCCCTGGAGGAAGAAGGGCTTGGAAAACATAACCCTCACGGGGTATATTGAAGGCAATTGTGATAAGGGTAGGCAGCGAGTCACCTACTAGAGTAGCTTGTATGAATGGATAGCGAATGAGGGGCGTGGGCTTCAAGAAAGAATAAATACTGCTTAGGGTCACAAGGAATAGGAATTTGCGGAGAGCCATGATTGCCATTGTCTTGAAAGGGCGCAGCATAATGAAAAAGATTGTAACTATAGGGTGTTTCATTAAGACGGATCAAAGTCGGTAGTAAATAAATCAATGTTATTGGTGAAAATTTATTTATTTCTCTATTGGATCATGTTATTAAGTCATGGTAATTATATGTAAAAAATAATATCGCTCAAATGTCCGCCAAGGCTTCAGCGGCACACCTCCACTCGATGGTCAAAATATTTGATGACGTCTCTGCATAGTTGCTCCTCGATCTCACCAATATGCCTTATTATCTCATCCTTTAGCTGTTGAATTGTTGTTGGGTTGTTGGCATAGACCTTACTTTTGAGATGACCCCAAAGGAAGAAATCTAAAGGCGTCAAGTCGCACGATCGTGGTGGCCAATTGACTTCGCTGTTTCAAGAGATGATACGACCTGGGAACTTCTCATTGCATTTCTGTTTGAACGTCCATTTTCGTAATAGGTTTCGATTACTTTAACACGTTGTTTGATTGTTAATCTTTCCATGGTTGAAATTGACAAAGATTTAAGTTGTTAAATCTGAAAGAAAAAGAAAAAAAAATAGACGCTTAAACTTAATTACCGTTTAAAATCGATCCAAGTTATTAGAACACTCTTTATTGCAAGCCTTCTTTGTATCTATTATGCATACAACCTTTCCTGTACAATAAACCCATTGAAGATAATCCAGTCTCGGTGTTACTTCTCTTCAAGTATATCCGTCCTTGTCTTTGACTTTGTGGACCTTAACTGTAACTGGAAAATCTTTATATCACTAATAATTTATTCAACAAGCATATCCATGTTTTCTTTATTGTTAATATTGTATGGAATTCGAACGTTCGGATCATTAACCCTTTGTCTCTTGCGTTCCTGAACAATTTTAACCCGTCTGTCTGAGTTCCTGAGTCAAAATTCACAAATAATTGATATGTAATATTTCACGGTAGATATAAAATAGTTTTAAAAAAATATAAGCATTATACTTAGCAGGGAGGGAGTATGATTTCATGCCTTAACTTTATCGCCAGAATTCTTTCCTTGTGTCCCAGTCTATCCAAATACGACAAACAATATACGATGAAAAGTGTTTACCAACCGTTAAATCGATGGCTAGGCATTAAGTCATATTTCTCTACCATCGATAAAGCGGTGGTCAGGGCTCAAAGGATTAATATAAAAATCATGGCTCTTAATGACTTTTATCTTTTTCTATCTCCCCAAACTCTACTCCGGTATCCATTCACACAAGTTCACCAGGTAGGTTGTGCGTTGCTTCCCTCGGGCCCTCTTATCTTCTACTTCTAA